AGGCTTCCCTGGTGGAGGAGGCTTTCCTGGCGGTGGTTCAAATCCATCGACTCAACCTCACACTACATCTGGATTTGGTGGGGGAGGCTTCCCTGATGGAGGTACACAGTTTTTTACCAACCAATTCACTATTCCTGATATTCCAAATGTACACATGAGTACAGCGGATCCACCGTCTCTCATACCACATAGTAACAATACCCCGAATGGGACGCACTTTCATCAATGTTCAAAGATTCCCGTAAAATGCGTTCCAAAAAGTGACGCCTTTCATCCATGTGAAGACATCATGGGGCATGTTTTGCTGACGGTGGTATCTGGAATGGTAGGTGGGGTAGCGTTGGTTGCGAACCTTGTTGTAGCACTCGTACTTTTGACGAGCCAGCGACGTCGAAACGTCACCAGATTCTTGATGTGTAATTTGGCCTTTTCTGACTTCGTCCTCGGCCTCTACATCTTCATACTAACGTGCGTTTCCGTAGCAACGCACGGAGAATACCACAACTATGTTCAACAATGGCAAAACGGAGCAGGCTGCAAAATATTGGGGTTCTTGGCCGTCTTTTCATCTGAGCTCTCTCTGTTCACACTAGTCATGATGACTATCGAACGCTTCTATGCCATTGTGTATGCCATGCACATGAACACCCGGCTATCGTTTCGCAAAACAGTTCGCTGCATGATTGTTGGTTGGATATTCGCATTGGCCATGGCTGCAATACCTCTAACAGGCGTAAGCGGTTACAGCAAAGTTGCAATCTGTCTTCCTTTTGATGTCTCTGATCCTGTTTCTACTGGTTATGTAGCTTTCCTTCTGCTAGTTAACGGTGCCTCTTTCGTATCCGTGGTGTACTTATACTCCAGAATGTTGTACGTGGTTATGAGCGGGGGAGATATGGAGGGAGCTCCAAAGAGGAATGACAGCAAAGTCGCTAAAAGAATGGCCATACTTGTCTTCACGGATATGCTATGCTGGGCACCCATCGCATTTTTTGGTCTATTGGCTGCTTTTGGACAAACACTACTCACTGTTACTCAATCGAAGATCCTGCTCGTTTTCTTTTTTCCTATTAACTGTATCTGCAATCCGTTTCTTTACGCTTTCTTCACCAAGACTTTCAAGAGAGAGTTATTTACGGCTCTAAGTCGCATCGGGTTCTGCAAGTTTAAAGCGCTCAAGTACAACGGAACCCTAAGTTCGTTTTTGTACTCCAGATCGGCGCGTCGCCATCAGTCCACAGTCAACGAAAACTCCACGCCTAAAGTAAAACATGGATCTACTATGTCTTTGAGACAAAGCAACCTGGAGTTGTACACAAAAGAATCGAAAGCAGAAAAAGGCGAAAACCTGAATGGGATCAGTAACGCTGGATTCATCCCAGGACATGAGGAGATAAAAACAAGCCCGGGGACTGTACGATATGTTGTCAGCGCTACGGGGAGTGACCAAGTATTCTTCCCCACCACACCTCATGCTACAGAAAACAAACATTCACCAAAGTCTATCATAAAAAAGAATTCCACCACCGACAACCCCCACCGCGGGGTTTTCTCTAAAGATGACGCACAATTGGCTGGTAGTGATGCACTTGAGAAGAATTCTACGGCAAACTCACCACCACTACAGGAAAAGAGAGTAAAAAAGGTTTCCATCGTAGACTCTCAGCGTGGAGGTTTCCCTAAAGATGACATACAATTGGTCGAACGCGATGCACTTGAAAAAAATAAGGAAAATAAAAAAGATACGACCGACGTACCAGACAAGAAAAGTAAAAAGGTCTCCATTGTGGACTCCACCGTGGAGGAGTGAAACTACTTACTTGAATCTTGTCTTTAATGATAATTAAAATGATACATTAGGTTCAAGTTAAAGCAATGGTCCACGATAAAAAAGGATCCCATTTCATTCATTTAGATGGAGGGTACTGTAGAGACCTGTTAAAATGTTCAATACTGGATGTTTAATTTCTGTTGTATTCCCAACAAAATAAAACGGCAACAGACACTTTTTAATTTTAATAAAACCCCTCCGAAACAACCTCTGGGCTGATCAAAGTCAGGGCACAGCTGACTCACAGAACAATCCCCGAAACAACCTCTGGACTGATCAAAGTCAGGGCACAGCTGACTCACAGAACAAGCCCCGAAACAACCTCTGGAATGATCAAATTCAGGGAACAGCCGACTCACAGAACAAACCCTGAAACAACCTCTGGACTGATCAAAGTCAGGGCACAGCTGACTCACAGATCAAATCAGAGTTTGAAAATGGGAGACCGGTCTCTGGTGGTCAAGTTGCTTAACATATCATAATTCATTCAACATTGCATCCATGATAGCATATATAGTCATGCATGAATCTCTAATAATGATTTTTTTTAAATTTGACATCAGGTTAGAGTGCAAACAATATAACCGTGAAACTTTAGTAATACTAAATAGGACAATTTCATGCAAATTCCATTGTTTTCTATTGTTTAATTAGCACTATTTTGTACTATTTAGTAATTAGTGTTGCATGGATTAATTGTTTACACTCTACTGGGAAACCAAATAGAGTGATTTTCCTTGGTGTACTTATAGAGTGTATAGTAGATCTTCTTTTGTGTCTATTTGACTGTTATACTCTAATTGACTACTAGAAACTGTTTAACAGTCCGAGATATCACTTTATCTCATGCCRTCTAGTATTTTATACTAGCTAGTCAAATATCAATGATATTTGAAGGACAGGAAATTAAAATAGCAGACACAGAGTGAAATCTTGGCCAGTTATAGATGATCCATTGCTGAATCATTAAAAAAAACCAGGAAAAAAAGGCCATTATGATGTTATTTATTTATCAGAACTTTCTGTTTAGTATATACAAGTCCAGTTTATTTTCTTTATAAAATATGTACTTCCACTTAAATATAAAATTGTTTCAGCATAATTCTCAAACTGCGACAGCTGCAGTAAGATAGAAGAGGAAAGACCACAAAATGTAATTAAGAACTTTAAAAAATCATGAACTGTAGAAACTAGATTCAAAGAGCTTTGACCTTTCTATTAACAAAACATGTATAATTCATATATATAGTTGGGAAATGATGTAGACCCTTTCATTAATGAAACATGTATAATTCTTACATATAGTTGGGAAATGATGTGGATTGCAAAACTAAATAAGTAAAATTATTGAAATTCAGAGAGTACGCTCTTATCAAGACTTATGTACATTCCTTTGACTTAACGTTGTTGTTTGATCGGCTTCATCCTTATGCACCTAGACAGAAAAGGATCATTGGGATAATTAATTCACAGTTGCTAGCTGCCGCATATGTTATCTAACACGTCTTGAGCTCGCTGTTTTCGATACCATTTAATTTGCTAATACCATGCCTCGAGCATACGGTGAAGATTTAAACTGGCGAGCAATTTGGATGACACAAGTTCTGGGTAATCTACTCATTATCCTTTTCGGTCTAGGCRTGTAGGGATGATCCGATCAATGACAACGTTTAGTCAAAGGACTGTATACAGCAAACTATTTCAAGGAAGGTTGGTGAAGGTTTTGTTGCATGTTGCTTACTAAACTTCAAACTTATTATRTTCATACGTAAATAATGTTAACACAGAGCAAATTAGGCAGGAAAACATAGCAGACAATGTTTGCTAAAATTCCATATGCTGTGGCGTTCACAAAGCCCATAGTGCAGTTCAGGCTTGGTATTCAACATGCAACAAACTTTAAAAACTTTAAAATTAAAATAGGTGTATACAACCACAGCACTTTCACAATATACGAAATGGAAAGCAAGGTAGGGACAACAACAAAGAAGTTGGGGGTCAGATTTTAATAAAAATCACTTAATAGTAATATATAGTAATATCATAAGTAACAGTTCATTTTTTACGGGCATGGCGGCCTGCTGGTATTTCGAGAATTGTAAAATTGTAAATAATAAAATGTATGACTTACCCCTATATTTTTTTACGTGACCCTCTCCCCCTCCCCCCATCTCAACAGCCCTTCCCTCCCCATGGTCCCTAATCTCAGTTTTTCTTGCTTTTGCTGTAGAAACTGTTGGCTCCCCTACAAATTCCGACTCTCCCAGTACATAAATTACATGCTCTCTTATGCTTTTCCTTGAAGAACAATGRCTCACCTTGACATAAAGGACCACCAGAAGTGGCGCGATAGCCATAATTATATTTTGAATAAGTATATGCAATTCAAAATATATAAGCATAAAATAGTGAGCTTTTAATTTACGGTGGAATGTGTTCGGAACGTTAATCGATCTTAAATCTAATTGTAATTAGATTTAAGAAAAAAGGCTAATAAAAATTTCCATACGTTCGCCTTGATATTTGCGTAGATATGAGTTACACTGCAGTTCCGAGATCACTGTTGGAACATTGTTCTGGATACTCGTCACATTCTTTAATAGCTTGCGCAACTTCTTTTTCAATTGAGGGCGATAAAATACTTCCAAGTGTACTTCTACGTTTTCTGGTTCTACCACGATGTTTTGCCATCACAAAAAGATCGCTTGCTTTACGAAGTTCTCGAGCGACTGTAACAGCTTGTATTGAAATTGGAGCAGAAGATGAACGCGAACGTTTCCCTTCAAACTCAAGATGCCGTGTTTCCAAGAACTCCGTAGACCGAAAGGTAGGGCTTGATTTCGTAGCGTGAAGAGGTTTATGCGTATTAAGACTTATTTGCGTCGTTTCTTGGTTCTGTTTCGAATTCCCTTGTTGATCAGGGATATTTGACTCAGCCATTGTTCGCCACTTTTAAAAATATAATTTCCTTCAAGATTGTGGTGCTGATACGGGTTGAAGTTTTGATTAGAAGGCGTTTCGACGAAGCTGAACAGCGCACTGATATGTATAAATCTAAATGCGATTTTAAAGTTTGCTGTAACAGGGTCCAAGACGTGATACTAGTATTTCGAGCGACAGAACGATAGCTAGATGACTCTAGTACTGGTTCCACTTGTGTTAAACAGCCAAAATAAATTCACATCAATCACTCCAAGTAATGTTTTGACAAAGAAATCAAAGCACTAATACGTTGTTACTCTTGCAGAATAAACGTTTCTGAAAAAAAAATCAACTTGTTTTGATTTTAAGTAGGACTAGTCTGTGCGTGTATGAACCTGAGTACTGTGCTAAGGCCCTCTGGACTGACACGAAATTTTCTTAAAATGACGTCATCTTGTTTATGATCCTCGTCCACGAAGACTGGTGTCAAGGTCAAGAAAACCAATATGGCGGACGAAGCTGAGTCGAAAATAACAAAAGCTAAAATGATTCAAATATATCATGAAGTCACTAAAGAACAGTTCTTAAATCAAATATCTGCAGCTAGAGTGCCAGCTGTTTTGAAAGGAGTGGATTTAGGTGATGCTGTAGAAAAATGGACGCCGCAATATTTAGCGAAAGTTGGTGGCGAGAAGCCTGTAAAAGTTCACGTGTGTAATGAAGGACGAATGGATTTTATTCACAAGAATTTTGCATATAAGTTAGTAATGGAAAAGGGTACAAAAACTAAAAGCGTGCAATATGCTTTGCACTATTTAGCATTAATTAGCACTAATTAAACAATAGAATAGCCTTATTAATAACATCATTTAGTACTATTCATATAGATCGCTAGCATGCTCTTAATATTGTATTTTACTTTTTCTTTTCTTAACTTTAAGGGTTTAAGGATCATGCTATCTTGAGGGGGAGGGAAAGGGTGATACAGATTATTTTCCCTGGCCTCCCCTCCCCTCCCCTCCCAATAGTTCACAAACAGTGGATATTTAGATAACTACATTATGTGTTTCTTTCTTAGGACTCTTCCTTTTAACCACCTTGTAATGAGAGCATCAGAAAATGTTCATTCAGAATACTTTTTTTCTCCTGTAAGTATACTAATTAAAATAAATCTAATTTATATAGTGAACTAGTTAGCATGCAGTAATAATTGGTTATATGAGCTGCACAAAAACATAATTTGTGAAAATGAAAATGATCAAAGGATGCCAAAACTTGAAGAAAGGAATGCAAGATTAAAAGTTTGATGTTTGTGTGGGGAATTGTAGATGTTTGGAGGCTTGACGGTGGTGGGGTTTTTTTTGTCTCGGTTCGGCAATTCACTGACATCCATAGCAAGGTTACTCATGCAGCAGCCATGCTTACTTTCATTAGAATAAACTGAAGTCCATGTGCTGAGCAGAGTAAAGCGCCTCACAGAGGCTGTGCAGGAGGTTACAGAGCAACTACTAATACATTTTAATCTTAGATATGTGTTCTTTAAAAGTGAAGTGTTATTAAGCTGAAGTCAACAGTTTCTTAGGGGGTGGATGAGGAGGTTTTTGAGTATAAAGTCTTCTCTAACTACAAAATGATGACTTTTTCAACAAAAAATTAATAAATGAATGATTAAAAGAATGAATAAATGAATGAATGAATAAATAAATTGATTAATGATGATTTAGTGGGTGGGTAGATAAGGTAGTCGGTATGTAGGTGGGCCAATAATTGATTGACTGATTGATTATTTTAATAATAATAAATTAATAACTGATAATTAAAGATGAATGAATTGATCATGCATAGTGATCCAGATTCTTTTGCCATTTGTACAAGCTAAAGAAAAAGTTCAAGTGCTTAAATTTGAAATTGGAATTTCAAAAGAACCAAACTGTAGCTCAAAATGCATTGTCTGTATACATTGTTTATCATAGGAAGAAAAGTACTATTTACGTTCTTTGGGAGAGGATCCTCGAAAAGTAAGTCCACCTTTGAAAAAACATTTTTATGAGTACAGCAAAAAGCATTTTTATGAGTACAGCTGTATACACTTCTAATGAAGTACATGTGTTACCAATCTTTGTATAGACCCCTTGCGTTGACTCCTAAGAGGATTTATTGTTCTGGGGGACAAAACAATGGATGTTTTTTACATAAGAAAAGACGGCCTTTTGTTTTGTCCCCCAAAACAATTCCTCTAGAAAATAAATGCAAGGGGTCCATTAGTAATTATAAATATATTTATAATATCTTGCACTTTCATTCCAGGATATTTCAGACATCAGTGTACATTTTCCATCGCTTGCACAAGACATCAAGTTGCCAGACCTGTATCCAGAACAACAGTTCTTCTCTAGTGTATTCAGAATAGCATCTCCAGGTTGTCAATTATGGACTCATTATGATGTGGGTATTCAGAGTTTTGTTATTGTAGAGTACAGGCTGTTACACTGTCATGTATATAATAGAGTATTTTTCGCACAACTGTGATGGCTGATTTTTTCCTTGCACTTTGTGATTGGTTTGACAGTACAGTGCATGCACTGTGTTTTTGCCATGTTCCGGGGAATTTGATTGGAAGGAGTGAGTATCCCTTACCGTGTCACAACCATGTTTGTGCCATAAGCTTTTCAGCTTTTCTGCTCTAATGGCATCTAGTGTGCACGTAAGTAGTCTCCTAGGCAGCCGCTATTAGTGTCATCACGCAACGCTCACTCCCCTAAGTAGCTACTCGGGAGTGAGCGTGGCGTGACGACTATAGCGGCTGTGTAGGCATATAGGGAGAGGTTCAGAGAAGGATATAGATAATTTCAAAGGGTTGTGCAGAGATGGTCACAGATCTATATAATATAATTTATGTTCTAGTTTTTTTTGCAAGGTTTTAGGGTTTAGGCCACAAAACTAAACATTACTTCAATATTTTGTATTTCATTCATTTTCCAGATAATGGACAATTTATTGATTCAAGTGTCAGGCCGTAAGAGGGTAGTTCTTTTTAGCCCACAGGATGCTTCCAACCTTTACCTGAATGGAGACAAGTCTGAAGTATTAAACATTGATAATCCTGATTTGAAGAGATTTCCAAGGTTTTCTTCAGCCGTACCATTTGAATGTCACTTAGAAGCTGGAGATGTGCTCTTTATTCCTGCTTTATGGTTCCATAATGTTTTATCTATTGACTTTGGTGTTGCTGTGAATGTATTTTGGAGACATCTTGATGTGGGGCTTTATGACAAGAAAGATATTTACGGTAACAAGGATTTACTACCTGCAACACAAGCCATGCAAATGGCTGATAAACTTATCAAACAATTGGATCAATTACCTCAGGACTACAGAGACTTTTATGCTAGGAGAATTGCTTGTAAATTAGAAAATAAGTGCTATATTCTTGAAGAAAAAGAAATTTAATGTTATGTATACCAGTAAATTGAAGTGATGCAGAGTGTAAAGAATTGTTGTAGGTACGAATTATGTCATAACATAACCACTATTTAATAGATAATTACCGAGGCACGCAGCATATAATGCAGGCGAGGGTGTAGCCCGAAGCTGCCTGCATTATACCTACGAATGCTGCGTGCCGAAGTGATTATCTAGTATAATTATTGTTCTTATCAAAATCCAATTGTTTTCTTTCTAGCTTGTTTATCATAGAAACAAAGCCAATAATGAATGAACTAAATATGTCTGATTTTCCTCTATGCATTCGTTGGGATAATGCAGACTGAAAACAATGGATTTTGATAAGATCAGTAATTATAACACAAGATCTGATTGGTTATTTAGCATATGCCAGCATGCATCCACGCTGACGTGATTGAGTAGCGTGCCCTTTGCAATAAAAATGTCTCTTTAAAAAATGAAATTTTCCTTGATTAACAAAGATTTGAATTTTTTTTTTTTGCTATGTCAAAAGCATGTCATTGATTAGCATGCTTCCATCGAGTTTTGGGTGCACTTGGTCTTTTGCTTAAGCACTCAAGAAGCTACGCCTAATGTGACTCTTACGCTTCCTTTTTCCTTAGCAACAGGCCAAGTCGCTACTTAATGGTGGTTCGATAGTTCCAATGACCCCCTCCCCCCCACTTCATTCTCTCCCTGTAAACAAAAGCTTTTTTTAAAAGATCCAATAATGCAATAAAATGATTATAAAGAAATGGAATAACTAAATTTGGTAGAAAAACCAACTCTCCTTCAAAGTTCCTAGCAATGGGCCTGAGGAACCTCCTGCGTGCACACAAAAACTTGTTGGAAGCAGGCTTATCAATGCCCAATCCTTCATATTACTTATCAAGTTAAATAATGGACAAAAGAATCCATTTGATCCTTGTTTAGAGAAGTAAAGTACTGTGTTAATTAATTTTCAGAGTTACTCCCTTAGAGTGCCATATGAATGTATTCTAGTCCCTAACAGTGCAATATAGCTCTCTCAAAGAATTATCCTACATGTAGACCCTAACAGTGGTATAGACCCCTTGCAGCGCTTAAGAATGCAGCTCAGTTTGAAATTGCAAAACAATAGGTTTCCAATTCTCAGGAGATTGAAATTTTGTTTTGTCATCCAAATTGAGCTCCATTGACATGCAAGGGTTCTTTATAGCTTTCTCAAAGAAGGTACTAGACACACATCTGTACTTTAGCAAGCCATAAACTGTTTATATCTTAAAATATCTTTAATGAAACCATAAAAAACAGCGAGCTAAAGTAGGAATTCACAACTCTAAGAGGTAATTTTCCAGAGTTAATAAGATCAGGCAGTTTCCAACTTCTTTTTCCGTGATAAAGATAAAACAATATTGCACTTGAACAGACAACTAACAGTATTGCAAAGCAAATGGTAAATCAAAGTAAGACAATTGAGTAACCATGTCTGCATTTTAGAAACTCTTATCTGGAATCATTGTATATCACTGGTTTTCAATCATTCCCAAGGCAGTTAATGAGAGATATAGCCTACCATGTCAGCTGATATGACACAAGACAAATAGAGGATATTACATGGGTGTGCGGAGATACGAAATTTATCTTTGAGTGTTGAAAAGATCTCTCACGAGTGACCTTCATGTAAAAGATACCATTACAGCTATAAACGAATCTTTATTTGTTATAAGATCCCTTAGGAAGGAAGGATATACACAAAAAGAAGTTGACCATTTATTTTCAACAATTGTTATATCAAAACTTATTTATGGTCTTAGTGTTTATGGAGCATCACCTCCGGAGCTTACCACCGTACAAAACTTTTTAGATCGCTGTTACAAACGAAATTATACAACATACCATTATGATATCCAGGATCTTTTAAATAAATTTGACACAAGGCTATATAAGAAATCGGTTAGTAGTGACCATCCTTTGCATAGCATGACGCCTAAAATACAAACGTCCAAATATAATTTAAGGAAATCACATTTTATTAGACCTAGAGTTAATTCTCAACGTTTTAAAAACTCATTTGTAAATAGAATAATCTTTAGTAATTAGTATCTTTTAATCAGTTTTTTAGTTTCATGATTGTAATCACGTTAATGATATGTATTTTATCATTTCTTTAATAAAGACATTATTATTATTATTATTAAATTGCGTATCTCCAAGCGCCGATGTAATATTCTGTTTATTATATAATTATCAATGAAGTATGTTTTGGCTTTTTCAGGCAATTCTTTCCGTGTATTTTTGAATAGCCATCGCAGTGGTGTTATTTTCACATGTGTGAAGCCCCGTTTACACAAGCGATTTTTGCGGTAAAGAATAATGGTAAAGAATTTACTTGTAAAGTTTTTTTCAGGATACCAAGATTTTCCTAGACGAATGTCTATTTTGAAGGATGAGACAAAAGATTTCATATTTCTGAAAATTGCAACTGAAAAATCGCCACAAAGATTGCAAGTGTAAACAGGGCTTGAAGATATCAATTTTTCGAAATAGAGAAAAATAGATATTTCATAGGCAAATATATAATAATCACAAATATTTTGTTCAATTTCAACCAATATGGCAAGAGTTAAATGTGTCATGAGAACTGTACGTAGAGGCAATGAACAGGAATCATCAAAGCAGAATATGAAGAAAGCAAAAATAGTTGTTGTAATACTTCATCACATTGTAGATCAGTATCACTGTATTTTGTTCTAAAAGTTGTTAAATATAGAAGATATGCAATTTTGAAGTTATTTTGTGGATACCGGCAAAAGCAAACAAAATTGTTTTTATATGATCTTTACAGGGTTCAAAATATAACAGCCGGACATCGAACAATGTCTGGCAACAATTGGGACTTGTCCAGTCAAATCTTTGCTTTGCCTATCATTTTGACCAGTAATGTTTAGCCAGAAATGAGGTATGACTAAGCTAAAACTGATTTGGCAAGTGATCATGACCAGTGACTGATCGGCCGTTATTTTAAGCCAAGCTGCTTTTAGAGTACATACGATATAACTGTTAAAAACTTTGTAAAAAATTGCACAAATTAGTAAGTTCAGTAAACTGTAGACCCACAAAACTTTGTCTAAATTCGTACAATTTCGTTAGTTAACTTTTTAACATGGATTTATGGTATGCACTCTACTGTAGTACACTTTGTATAATAATATTAAAGACAAAGTTTTGTCAATTGTTTATTTTTAGAGGAATTTTAATTCTAATTTAATCAACTATTTCTAATTCATCCAGTTCTAGATCATCAATATCCTCATCAAATAAACTTTCTTCAATAGGTATGCCATCGACAACTGGTGCTGTATTTTCAGGTTGATTTACATTAGAGCCACCTCCACAGGCTTCATCCAGACCATTTTCATCTGTTGCTGAAGTATCTTTAGGGTTCTAGAAGCAGCCACCATTACAAGAGATTAATCAAATAATATACCTACTAATCAAATAGAAAGGTTTTCAAAAACCCGTGAAATACACTTTA